CTGTATCGGATGAGGCCCAGATGTCGGGGTGCGCAGCGGCTTCATGGTGTGACACCAACAAAAAGACAAAAGGAAACCTGTCAGGTCCTCATGGGAAGACGAAACTCGTCAAAGTTGTAATCTGTCAGTGAGGGAGAAACTGTTCTAAATTTTCGTCAATCTTCGGTAACAATGTAATATAGGTACCAACACGGAGACCGAAACCTCCCAGAACTCTGCAATACGTGACCGATGGTAATGTGAGTCATATAGGTGAGACATTACCGGGCCCAGGGGAGAACATAAAAGAAATGAAGGACAAAAAAGAGATAATTATAAAAAGCTAATGTAAAACAAAGAAAAAGCGTGTAATAGTTGAAAAATAAGTTTAATTAATAAATAAAATGCTATACTAAAAAGTAAATTACCATCACCACCGATGCCGTATTACAAGATTCTCGAGTTTTTTTATTTCCGTGGTGGTACCTATAGTAGACTGTTACCCAGTCTTCCCCAAGGTCGACCTCTCAAGGTCAACTATTTCCATAGGTAGCAAATACTACGAAGTTGAGAATCAGGTAGACTGGACCTTGCAGTGAGCTTGGTTCCTTAAAAGAAAGCAAGAAAACTCGTTCGAACAATGCTCGCAACATTCAGGAAAGACGATGGGACGGGCGGGCAAGCCTGCTTACGCGCAAACTCGATTCAAGGGAAGAAAAACCAGCGCAGGAGCCAAGAGTTTGTTGCTCCTACTCCAAACCCAAATCAAGCTGGAGGAAAAACCAGGCCAAGCAAACCAGGACAAAGCATAATGCAACGACACACGCAACGGGTGTCACAAACAACCATTTTCTGCATCGAAACGAAACAAACTCCATTCGCGTAGTTGTCCGATGCAGTTGCAACTGCGGGGGTCACTGCTGGGACATGGGTAGTGCACGATCCGACACATTTTATGCACCCACACACACACACACATCTTTGAAAGCAGACGAGGTCAAGTGGCTGGAACATTAGCGACAGGAATACACAATAAAGTACTGCCTGGTCAGTACAGTTGTCGCCGGTTATTAAGCCCACCTCGGGCCCAGATCGAATTGGGCTTAATAAGCGGCGGGCGCAATAACCGGAGAGTCCTGGTTCTTGA